GAGCTGCCTCCAGCCTCTCCAGAGCTGAGTAGACAGGAGAATTCAGAGCAGCAAGTCCTCCCTGCCTGAACCTGTCATAGACGGGCCTGTCTCTCTCTGGGACTGGTGATATTTACACTCAGCTCTTGTCCTCACAGAGTCGGATGATTTCTTTGAGAACCCCGCCTTCCTCCTCACCTGCTCCGCATGACTGGAAATATCTCCCTGCAGTTCCTTGGCATAGGTGATCTCTCTATTTCAATGGGCCACTTAAGATCTCTCTTTGCCTTGAGCTCTGCACCCCAGCCTCTGCCACCTGGAGTTTCCTTGCTCTCCTACCACACACACTAAGCACCAAGATGAACCAAGGTCAACTCTCAGGCGGCCCAAATCTGCCCCAAAGCAATGGAATCCAAGTTACTCCCCTGGTCTCTCTCTCTTCTGTCCCTTTGCAGCTACCAGCTGCTTCAGCCAACCTCTCCCCCTTTAGCATGCTCACTGGGCTCTCCCACTGGACCAGGAAGCCCCTCTTGCCCCTTGAGACTAGAGGATGAGATCACAATAGGGTTTCAAACCTGGTTCTCAGAGGCCCTCTTGGAAAGCCCTGCATCAGGATCTAGTCTGTTAAATAGAATGTGGGAGAAGTGGGGATAATTGTCACCTATTCTTTTGAGACCTTCAACAACATCATGGAAGACTCCCTTTAACATTCTGCAACACGTTAAGGGAATTAATGGCTACAGATGGAATTTAGAAAAGGCATTCATACTGTCAGCTTTCTGTTCTTAATGTGAGCAATATTTCACCTTGTGCAGAGAAAGAATGGTAAGGAACAAAAAGATGAGGGGGAACATTTTGCAAGTTGATTATTCCCTCCTCCAGAGGACACTACAGCTTCCCTCCCCAGCACTTATGTCAGATCACTGTCCTTACCTCCTTCCTTTTGGGCTCAAAATGCCCTCTGCCTATCCTCTGCCTCCAGAGCACCCCCCCCCATCTAATGTGCCCCCCACCCAAACCTCTCTGTCCTATCCTTGAAGTATTCTGCCAAAGGAGCCAAATCAAGCAGTGTGAGTGTTCTTAATGCCAGCAAGTTATAGTCCGAGGGAAGCGACATGTGTGGACTTCCTGGGACCTGAGGGTCAGCCCCACCAGTGGCAATCTCAGTCACTAAGCAGACAGTTGGGTAAACATCTGTGGCTGGTACGCCAGGCTCACTCTGGGCAGGAGGTTGTAACAAACGTCCTCATTTTTGTGCCAGCTCCCAGGATTCCATCAGGACATCAGTCACTCTTTGCACAGCTTTTTAGCATACAGTTATTGGCTGAATAACGAGTCCCCTTGCAATCCCACACACACATCGACCCCCACCCCCACCCTGCTGCCACCTCCCACTGCACCAGTGCTCCAGAGGCTTTCTATCTGATGGTCTTTGCCTCCAGTCTCCCCTTCCACGACCTGCTATGCATGACCAAGAACACCTATTTGATTTGATACATCTTGCTTTGGCTTGTCAAGATCAATGACCTCCCTGTACTGGGCTCACTTGATTTTGATGCATTTTCATTCCAGAGTTTTAATGAGATGGGAAACAAGAAACTCCAGCTGCCCTAAGTGCTCGGCTCCAACAGGCATCACAAGCAGCAGCTTCGGAAGGGTCTTCTCTATTTCTCACTATCTCTTGTGCAGTTCATCACACCCGATCCCCAAGGCATCTTCCCTAATGTCCAGGAGCCAGTAGGCTGCTCCCTAGATGCACAAGGCACCCCCTCACCCACCACCCTGGCAAAAGATTTCTGTCTCTAAGTAATATTCTGCTCAGAAAGGTTTCCTCATACCCTCTGCTCTCTTTCAGTTACCCCTTAATCCACCACTTCCCAATTCTTTGTCCCAGCATCTGTTCCTCAGTGCTCTTCCTGGGCCCTCATATCTGTTCCTTGCCCTCCCCCTGCCCTGCCTATATGGTTATTTCCAGGGCTCTGCATCAACTGGCTGGAAGATGCTAGTGGGAAACTGGGAGGCAGGAGGCAGGGAGGAGCAGAGAGTCCCCCTTCCCACCCACTTCGCCTTATACAAGGGCCCAGCAGGGGCAAGTCTTCCACCAGGTGGGTCTTGAGCTCCAGCCTCCACCAGATGACCCTAGCCGTAGTCTCTAACATGGGCCCAGGGGTCAGGCTGGCTAGCCCAGTTCTGTGGGCTTCTTAACTCTTCTGTCACCTGTGCCTGGCCCCAAGTGGTATCCAAGTAGGAGCTCCACAGACTGAAATGGCTGCCTCACCTGGTTTCCTCTTCCAAGGTAGCTTTCCTTTTGAGGCCAGCGGATAGATCTCCTTTCTGGATCTCCCAACTTCTGTAATCCAATAAAGTTCTCTGTGACAAATGAGAGTAGAATGGACAAAGTGGGGCTCTCAACACAAACTAATTGACTTTGAGTCTCAACTCTGACTGTTCCAGATGTTTGCCTTGGTCAATTTATTAAACCTCTTTGAGCCCAGTTCTTCACCTGTAAAACAGGGATAACAAAAGTCATTTCCTCCAAGGGATAACCTTTGGTCTCAGGCAACATGCTGGGTACTCAAGAAGCATCCATTCCCCTGGCTTCACCTAAAGTGGTCATATGTACCAAGGTATGAGTATCGATCTCCTCCTGGGAAACATATTAGCACTCTAACAAGGAAAATAAATACTTTATGCTCAATGCTTAGTTTTATATGTGTAAATCTCAAACCCCCACAGCAAGACTATCAAAGCTGACTTTCAAATCTCTCTGACCAGGTAGACACCCACACTATGGGGTCTGAGGAGGGGCCCCACTAGCTGAGAGGAGACTCTTATGCTGATATGATGATCCTGCTCCGACCCCCCAGGGGGAGGGGCAGAATGTGTGGGAGTCTGGCCCAGGGTTATTTTTGTTTTCATTAACATTCTTTTCTACATGTATTTTAACCTTAATCAAGTGCATGTGTTTGTGTTTCATTTGCACTTAGTTCATCAAAGTGTCCCTTATGATCTAAACTATGCCATGAAGCCTTAAGCTTTTCGGTGAAACACTCATTAATACCCCTGGGAAACAGGAAGTTGCATTTAGTCAAATATAAATAAATTCAGCTCTCAGGGGGCTGTGTGCTGGCCTAGGTCAGAGAACGGCAGTGGCTTCTCAGTTGATCTGATCCGTGGCCCCTCTCAAACTGAGCTGCAAAACATGAAATCCCATGACTCTTGACAGATAGGTGTTCTGAAAATGTGCCTATCCTTTGTTCGAACCGTTCCAGTCAAGTGTGGTTTAATGGATTTCTATTGATTTGGCTAAACAACTGGGTATCATTCCAGATGTATCTCCCAGTCCTCCACTGCACCCCCCTCTCCCAAATTTGAGCCCAAAGGGAAAAGGAAAGAGGGAAAAAGGAGATGTAAACCTAAACCACCTCACCAAAGACTCTGTAAGCTGCCTTAAGAGGGCTCCATCTTTGCCTGTCTCTCCCCTTCTCTCTCACCCTCTCACTGACTCTCCAACCGCACATATGGAACCAATTACGAACAAAGCTCGATTGTTTTATATTTGGAATTTCCCACATCAACTTGATGCTTTCTTTAACTGCCTCGTAATGTGTGTCTGCGTTGGAAACCGTGCCCAACCCCCATCAAGCATCTTTTTCCTGATTCATTTTCTAGTGGAGGGAAACGCTTGTCCCCTTTGTGCCCTCCCCTCCCCACTTCCTAGTAGAGTATTTGAATAAACAGAACTTTCTTTTCTATCATTTTCCATATACTAAACAAGGCCTATGCGTAAAATCGAGCTACCACCAAAAAGCACAGATTACTACAATGAAAATGTCCACCCCTTTCATAAAACCCAGAACTGGAGAGGAGTGGTTTTTGTATAGAAATCATTTTAAAAAGAAGAAAATGAGAATACCTCAAATCCTGGAAGCCCTTTGTTGTTCTTTACAGCCATGTTCTCCGTTCTTTACAGGTGAACAATGTATTAGTTACAAAACCTTCCAGAAAAGTTGTCATTTTAGACTGTCGTAGCATTCACCTGAGCCTGCTGTCTGATCTGGAATTACATAATGATTAGAAAAGAATTGACAAATATGAGGAATGAGTCTGAGCTTCCACAGGCCCTTCAGAGCCTTGTAAAATCAGACATAACTGCTTCATGTTTACTGGCACACATAAAAATAAATGTTCTCTAACACAAACATGTAAATGAGGAGAGGCCAGATGCGAGTCTGTTATATTTGATTTCATTCATCGGAGCCATGTGATACAAACATTTTTTTCCTTCTTTCTCTCACACTTTCTCTTTGTAAGCTGCAATCACATGTATAATTAATTATGTGCATGTATTTATTTTTATGGATTGGAGAGCAAGAGGGGAAAAAGCTGATATGCAGGTTCTGAGGCTCAGTTTCATAAATATATAATTTATTAACTGAAGAGAGGGATCGCTGAGGTCCCCAATGTATTGTGTCGACAGTCTTCAAATATTTCTCCTGGGTTCAGAAGGGAATGAAATCAGAATGTAGGATTTTATGTTAATCTCCGCTCCAGATGGTCATATGCCAAATATTCTTTTTAAGGTGAACATGTGACCTACTGTACAGCCGGGGGGCTTGGGCGTCACGTGAGGGAATGAATAATACGTCTGATAGAGCTTTGATTAGACAACTGACCTGGTTACCATCTGCAGCCATGAGAAGCAAAGTTGACATTTCTGGATCACTCTCCCTAGAAGCGTCACTTTCCCACTCTGGGACACAATCATTGCACCGAGCCAGTAAGCAGGGACAGACAGAAGGAAGCTAAAGAGGCAACTTCATGCAGCCTGAAGTTGCAGAAGTTGGACTGTTTTCTTTTCCCCATCCCCCTGCCTCCTGACAAGCCACATCTTGACTCATATGGTTGGGAGGGGAAAAAAAAAAAAAAAAAACTCAGTTATTTGATATTTGGGAAACCTCCAGGAGACTATAACTTATTTTTGAGGAAGTCCCGATCTCTCTCTTTGCTGGGAATACACACACACACACACACACATACACACACACACAGCTCTACAACACCATGGTGGTGCAAGCAGCAGTGGCTCCAAATAGATCTCAAAGACTTTTACTGAAAATACCTTATGGATCTCTGAGAAGACGCAGCGTGGAGAGGGTAAGCAACGTGGCGGGCTGCTGGGTTTTCAGCGAGCAAATTGCTCCAGAGCAAGGGTGATGTTTATTTCCACTGTATCCTGCTTAACTTCTGCTACTAATGTTTTACTGAAAGAGCCGAGTCCGAGACTGTAGAATACTATGTCATCTGTGATTTTTTTTTTTTTTTGATGTTGTTCTTAACAGATAACTTGAAATCTGGAACATAAAATGTTTATGTTTCGAATCAGTTGTGGATATTGGGGGGGGGTTAGAGATAAAAGGTGAGAGAAAAGATCGGGCTGGGGGCTGCCCCCTGAAATGGACAGAAAAGCTACGAGAGCTTATGGAGAAATACTTCAAGCTGCAAAACCTGATTTCCTCTGTGTTTATGGAAATATCCCGTGGGTGCAGCAGGGCTGCAAATTTCCTTTGCTGGGTGACAGCCTCTAGCAAGGAAGTGATGATGACTTAAGGAGCATTGGAGTTTTAGCAGTTCAAATTATGTAGCCAGTTGATTAGAAGGCCCTCCATTGTTTTCAAATATGTTATTACCATTTCAGGATCGGTTGTTTGTTTTTCATATATGATTTGGCCTCAAAATTACTCTATGTATATCCTGAAAGTATGCTTACTTTATAGTATCCCCTGGCTACTACAAATAAGGATTTGTCCTCTGGGGTAAGAAATGCAGTGGGGGAGGGAGGGCTGTCGTGAATGCAAACCTGGCTGTCGGGATGTCGGGCTCAACATGTGGGCATGGCGCCTACATCCATTCAGGGTCATGGTTCTGTCAGTGTCAGAAACCTCCAAAGCCTGTTTGAATCCTAGCCAGCTTCTCTATGCACTGCCAGTGTCTACATAGACATCTTAGGTGACGGTGGAGTCCAAGATCTAATAAAATAAATAATGTCACAACGAGCTCTCTTGATAGGTAAGCAACCTGTCGCATCTTATAAAGGGAGAATGCAGTTTTAATTCAAGTGACTTTTTCTGATTAGTACGTTGCTAACTAGTCAGTTCTTTTCCAATGGAAAACAAACCTAACTGAAGGTGTGAAATTATGAGGACTAGCTAGCTCTTCAGGCAAGATTGCGTTTCTGATCCTTGATGAGCTAGATTTTTTCTCCCATTGGAATAATGACAATAAGTCCATTTCTTCTCTCAGGTCTTTATTTTGGAACATTTTTCTTGTGTTCAGCATCAGAATCAAATAATAAGTATGTAACACTTAGCTTTAGGGCATAGGATTACAAGTCATAGCAAAATTTACAAAATTAACCAGGCTTATGTTGAATGTGGTTTTAAATTCTGGTGGCAACTCTTTGGCCTGATAGTAACTGAATTTATGTAACATGTAATTAGATATTCACAGATACACCCATGGACGTGTACATTGTGGATCCTAGGGTTGTACAACATGGCAACATTTAAGAAATAGTTATCTTGCATATAGGCACAAAGATCCCATGGTCACCTGGTATAATGTGATTCTAATCATACTATTAGAATCTCCAGGTAGATGTTTAATAACATAATAAGTTATGTTTACATAACTCTAGGTGCATACATTACTGCTTCTGATATGTATTGCTTGCCAGTTTAAGAAAAACTGATTATATAGGAAGATAGTGTCATACAGGGAACATGTCTGTTATTGCATGTTTGCATGTGCTTTCATTCAAACACACAGACATGTCGTCTGCCCTCGATCACCCCTTTGTTACATGGGCGTGAGTGCTGTGGTCTGAAAACTTTGGGGGCCTGCAGATCAGCATACACATCCTGGGAATGTTAGGTTTCCCCTGTGAATCTGCTACTTATCCTCCCCTGCCACAGAGGGTGAAACTAATTGAAATATATGATGTCTGTCGATTCCAATAACATCTGATACTGTGTGTGGTTCTGTGAATTCAGAATTAGAGTCATGTTTAGTAATACAGAAAAGGAAGGCAGGAGAGGTAAGACACAATGTCTGCCCTCCACAGAGAGGCTGCAAACAGGGCTCTTTCCTTGGGACTCTCGGAATGGAAAGCAACAGCAGCTTTTTCAATTCTGTCAACAGCCTCAAAGCAACAGGCATGACTTGGTCTCTAAGTCTCACAATATTCCATGATGTAGTCGTGCATTCCTATACTGCCTTTACTCTAATCCACTTTATCCCCATTACCTCATTTTTACCGTCATGAATAGCTAGTAAGAGACAGAACAGGAGGTATTACCTCTGTCCTGTATAAATACAGAAACCAAGGCATGGAGAGGTTTAATCTTTTGTCCAGGGACATACGGTCAGTGAGAGAGTCATACCTAAATCCAGGGACCTGGTATCGCATGTCTCCGCCATCAGACCCTGCTTCACTACTTTGGCCCTCTGGGCCTGAGAGAAGGGTTCTAACCAGCTTATCCTGGTACATCACATGAAAAGAAATAAAGAAGACATGTTCAAGACATGTCAAGTCAGAGATGCTAAAGACCAGGGAGAATAGCAGGAATTCTAGGGCAACACCAGGCATTTGCCCTTAGGTGTCCAGGAAATAGAACTGCTTCTGTTTCCAACTGCCTGCAAGTTGAGTTGAAAAAAGGAATTGCAAGCCTTTTTTTTTTTTTTTTAAGTTGTTCTTTTTTCATTCATGATAGAGTATGTACATGTGCATGTGAGTGTGTGCGTGGGGGCGGGGGTGGACACCCTCTACAAGGTTGGGTAATGCCACTGTCTTCTTCCTCCGGTCCACCAACCCATCAGATCTTGGGCTTCTTGTACATGCCTAGTGTGTTTCAGGTTGACCTGGCCAAGGATTTAAACCATAGTTGCTATGCGGGATCTGGCTTCTCTTGAGCTGAATAGTGCCACCATGCCATGTATCCGACCTCAGCAAACCTTTCTAACGATGCTGCTCGACATCCTTTAAATCATGGCTGTGGAAACACTCACGCAGCCTGGATGCCAGACTTAGTTCTTGTTTACATTTTTTTCACAACCAACCCTGAGCCCATCACTGTGTTAGGCAGGGTGGGAAAAAATAAGCATAAAATGCTGCGTTTGGTATGAAAGGAAGGTTTAGGCATTCAGGGTTTATATAAATGAAGCAATTATAAGTCTGTATATTATGGGCTAGAATTAAGCCACATAATAAGTAACGAAGGCAATTTAGGTGTTAAAGACAGTACCGTGGTCAAGTGGGAAGGGTGGAGTTTGGAGCCATGCCATCCCAGGAACCACAGCCTCGCTATTTAATAACTCTATAGCCTTGGCAAAGTGATGCCACTTTCTCAGCTTCAATTTACTTATCTACTCTACCTGCCCCTTGAGGGTGGTCATTAAGGATTAAAAATAGTGTCTATAAACCTAACCAATATCTGGCAATTATATAGAAGCCAGTCACAACGAGAAGTGTGTGTGTATATATATTATATATATGATATATATATACATATATTTTTTTTAATTTTGGCAGAGGGCATGTGTGTTTGCAAGGGAGAGAGAGAGGGAGAAAACACGAGGCAATGGGGTGCAGTCACACCACAATCCCTTCTCCATTTCTCCGTCTTGTCAGGATTTGGGGCATGCATCAGTATGTTTTTCAAGCCATGGAGACAGGATCTGGCTCCCTTAACCTCGAAGCCACAGAACTAGCCTATTTATTGAAGGTCATATATCTTTCTGTGGAGGAACCCTTGGTTTATTTTACTTTTTAAAGTGTGTTTTTTTCATAAGGGTGACACGGAAAGAGAGACAGAGACAGAGAAGCACCCTCAACAAGGCCTCATGCGTGCTAGCCCCCAGCCCTCCTAGCCAGGTCCATGGCTACATGTGTCTGGCATGTACAGGGAACAAAACCCATGATTTTTAACGTGAATCCAGCTCTGCTGGGCCAGTACATTCCACTGTGCCTCAGAGCCGGCCCTTAGCTTGTGTCCCTAAAAGCTAATGGCCATTGATGCAGTGTTGCACCTCTGTGTCACCTGGAGAGGCACTTATGGGCTATTTGTGTGATAAAGCTAAGACAAGCAATGGTTTGTGATAACTTCTTTTGGATTCCCAATTTTATGTAAGACACATAGAAAAAAAATGTGGTCCAAATAACTGCAAACAAATGCCTAATAACCCAGCTTACTCAAGCCCAGATAGTTTTGGATTGTCTCTTCATTCTAAAGCCAGATGTCTTATTCCAGAAGGAAAGAAAACATGAGCTTCATAGAAAATTCTAATAAATATAAGAACAGAACATATAAATGAATTAAAGAAAGAGAAATATGGAATTTTTTTTCTGAGAGTTTACCTTGGGGCAAGGGAAATATTTTTTTATTAAACTACTATAACCCTACAATACAAGGAAATGGTTATGTTTTATGGATTACCTTTATAGATGAAAAGTCTAAGAATAAGTGAACACATCTTTCAATGTGGCTCATTCCATCTTGTTTTAGTTTGTGATTTAAAAATCGAGGCGAAATCTGTTGGGCTGCTGCCTATATTCTATGTTCCAATATGGGTTCAAAAAGACTGAGAAACATGTATTTCTTCACACCCTGAGATGCCATCCTATGTGGAATCCACCATTCATGCAAACACTTAGCAAGTTGCTGCACCTCAGCTTTCAGATACCATCTCTTGACTTGGGTACACACTTCCCTACGTTGGCTAAGGTTGTTCATCTCCCAATCGACTGATCTGTTCTAACATGAAGACTCAGGGTCTTGGGGGAGACTGGACATCTCTGTTCTCTTGAATGTCTCAAACTCTCAAATCCAACATGTCTGAAATAGAGTTCATCATCTCCCCCACCATCCTGCTCTTCTTCTGATATCACCGACTACTAAATACCTTAACCGGAAGCCAGGCATCTTCCCGCCTTTTCCCTTTCCACTGTCTCCATGAAGGCACCATGTGCTCACAATTCTAGCTCTGAGGGACTTCCTGTGTCTTCCTGCCCCTCCCCATTCCTTGGTTCAGGCTACCATCATCTTCCATATACTGCCTTCTTAGGGTGCTCGGTCTTGTCTTCTTTTGGTTTGAGCTCC